CTGATTTGTTAAATCAAATGAAAAATTGTGTGTTTGATTGGTCCATACGCTACAATTGCTACTGTGTAACAGAATGAACTTCTCAAAGTAATAATAAAAACTTTATTCTTACGGAATAATAATAAATGCATTTATAATAATATAAATAAGAATAATAAATTGGTATTAAATAAAAAAAGATTACTTAAAAGTTAAAAGTTGTAATAAATTATATATTGTTGAAGTCTTATGAATTCAATTTATTAGACATTCTTTTTTTGAAAATAAAACACATTTTGTAGGGTTCTTCATGTGTCATTTATAAAGAGGATCAATCCCAGAATGCTTTGTGATGAGCTCCATGAAATCTTTCATTATTATAGATATTAGGTTTCCCACATGTCCTGAGGGCAATTATATTAAATGGTTTAAAAAAAATCTTAATTAAAAAAGTGAAGATTGATGAATATATTTTGACCCCAACCAAAAAGTTTATACAAAGCCTTTCCAAAACACATCTGTGTTGAACTTTGCATGACTCTAAATGAGAAATATTCACCGAAGTTCAAGAAGAAATGCATAGTTTAACCAGTATTTCACGCAGTGTGAATATCGTGTGCGATTCAGGGTTTTCTGGGATTGATCCTGATGTGAGTGCTGTGTTTGTGTCGTGTGCCGCAGGCGACGGCTGAAGCTAATAACCTGGCCGCTGTAGCAGGAGCGAAAGACTCGTACAGCAGGAGCATGGAGCAGGTACGTCTCTCTCCTGATCACGTGATCTCTCGGCTGTGACGCCCGCGACACACGCGTGTTCTCCCGGCTGCAGGTGTGCGGTGGAGACAGGCCCTACATGTCTCCGGCGGATCTGGAGCGCAGTCACGAGGAGCTGAAGCAGAGCTGTGTGCGTCAGTTCCGCGGCGTGAAGAAGATGGGCGGCGAGGAGTTCTGCCTCCGCTATCAGGAGCAGCTGGAGCAGGAGATCGACGAGGCCTACGCCAGCTTCCTCAAACACAACGACGGGAAGAACATTTTCTTCGCGGCGCGCACGCCGGCCACGCTGTTCGCCGTGATGTTCGTCATGTACGTGGCGTCGGTGGTGACGGGCTTCGTGGGTCTGAGCCCTGCGGCGGCGCTGTGTAACCTGCTGATGGGCCTGGCGCTGCTCTCGCTCTGCGTCTGGGTCTATGTCAGATACTCCGGGGAGTTCAGAGAGCTGGGCTGCTTCATCGACCGGCTGGCAGAAACCCTGTGGGAGCAGGTGCGTATCACTGCAAACCAGAGCTTGTCTGTGTTCTGCTTCAGTTTCCCTCACCTGCATCTCTCAGCCAGCTGTGCTGAAAACATATTTTATGACCTTTCTAGATTTTATGATTACGTCAGATTCAGTATTAGGGCTGGGCAAAAAAATCTACTTTTCGATTAATCGTTTTTTTAAATGACGTCGATTCAATATCGATTCTCAAAAGCCGCGAATCGATGTTTTCCGGTATTTATTTCAGCAAACGTTTAGTTTGAGGAAACCTTCATTCAGTGCTTATCATGGCGGAGATACGGTGTTTTCAGCTTCTGCGACATGAACACACACGCATATCATCTCCAGCTGCTCTGAGAGTCATTTCATTAACATTTTACCATTTAATTTGAGAAAACTACCGTCACGTCACATACACAGCAGCTGCAAGTTCTTCACGGCAACCCGTCAAAATAAAACTTTAGTTTAACGTTGTCACGGTGTGCCTACGGTGAGGAGAACGCAGGAGAATCAGGATTAAGTCTTTATTGACATCACAGGAATCTCACGTAGGACATGGGGATCGATGTTAAAAACCGGACAGAGAACTCAAAACAGGAAACACTTTAAATACACAAGACATGACTCAAAACAGGAAACAGCTTAAATACACAAGACATGACGAGAAACACCTGGGATCAATGAACATAATAGGAACAGGAAACAGGAAGGACCAAATATGGGCATGGACATCACGTGGGGGAGCAAAACACACACGAAACACGGAACAGAGTCTGACAAACGTGAAGAAACTTTGTCAGAAATATATTACTATTTAGCAGTCTCTAGACCCAGTGTAACAACAGTGCTACTACTACTATTAAATATGAATAAATCTTTATTTTTAAAGGAATAATCACATTTGTTTTCTTTTTAATTTTAACAGTAAACCTCTGTTGTGCAACAATTTGTTTGCCAAAAAAATAAAAGGGTTTAATTTTCATTTGATTAGGATCAATTAAATTCATGTTTTATGCCTTCATCTGATTACCAGAAAAATTAAGAAGAACATTTTATAGGGCCCTGTTAGGTGCTCTTCGGTCACTTTTGACGGAAACATTTTCCGTTTTGAATTTTTAAAAATCACAGCTTCATCGGAATGGTGCCAAACTTGGTGACTTTTATGGCGTTTGGAATGTGAACACACAAAAACATAGAGGGCATGATTCGAGCAGGCTAAGTGGTCGTTAAACAAATAGTCACACTTGTACTCTTCAGTCAAAAATGACGACCATAGGAAATGAATGGGAAATCGACAAAAACACAAAAATTCTGAGAATCTACAAATCTGACACAATGCAGATAAAAGTACACAGCAATGACAGCGTGAAACTCTCAAACATCAAGAGTGCAAAACCAACACATCCACTCACACACACGCGTACACACACGTACCTTTGAACTGGTGTGACTTTAACATAGCAAATATGTAAAATAAAAGCAATAATTCAACTACAATGTAGTAAAAAGTGGACAGCAATGAAGGGGTTACATTCAAATTCTGAGAATCTACAAATCTGACACAATGCAGATAAAAGTACACAGCAATGACAGCGTGAAACTCTAAAACATCAAGAGTGCAAAACAGACACACACACACACACAAACATACACAATTATACACACTCAAATTAATTGGTATGGCTATAACCATATAGCCATAACGAGTCAGAAAACTTAAGTGTGAAATCAAATCAGGCCCAGAATGATTAAGCTCTGATAAAACATTTGTTCATTTTTGTTACATTTTTATCGAATTTTAATGTTTTGTTTAACAAAATGCTTTCTCTGTGTTCAGGTTTGACTGTAGTATTAATAATTCAAAAACTGACGCTTCAAATCAACATTTTTACAAAAAGTTGTCTTTGAGAATGTCTAAATATATATCCAAACCCACAACTTAATAATAATATGTATAGGCCTTTTATATAGAGCTATATGGAATTGCAGATGTTTTTCTTATTTTACTCCCACCAGATGGCACTAATTTTTTTGTCTAAAAACAATTAGAAAATGTATAGGCCTTTTATATAGAGCTATATGGAATTGCAGATGTTTTTCTTATTTTACTCCCACCAGATGGCACTAATTTTTTTATTATTTTCAATGGGCAGAAATTGATCATAATTATCGCATAAATATTAATTAGTGCAATGAAATTATCTCAAAATACACAATAAAAAAGAAAAAATATTATTGAACAAAAATATATTACATTGATTTTACTGGGGCGAAAAAAAAGTTAACATTTTAGGTGTCCGGTCACTTTTGACCGTGAAGACCACAAGTGTGACTCCCAAATGAGGAGCACCAGAGGGTTAAAAACAAACCCTAAGACCCTATACACAAAAAAGAATAGGTTTAAAATACACGCCTGTGGCTCTTAATTTATTTTTATTAATTCACCATTTGTAAACTGACGTTTACTGTTCATTTTTTAGAAATATCAATAGTATTTGTATTAAAACTATATTCACTGAATGTGATCAAAAAATCAAGAATCGAATTAAGAATCGAATCGAGAGCTTGTATTTATTTTTATGATTTATTTTGAACACTTTTCCCCACAGGGTAAACTTCCTAAGGTAGGTGTCATAAGCATTAAATGTTTTTAATTTTGCATGTAGGTATTATTATTTTTTCTATTATATTATATATTTTACTTGTATTTATTTATTTTGTTTATATTTTAATTTATATTTATTTATTTATTTTATTTTGTAGTACCAGTAAACTAAGGCAGACATCAAAAGCACAAAATGTTTTTAAATGTTCTCACAGTTATTGTTTCTTTTATGTATTTATTCATGTATTTATTTTTTTTGAGATTTGTAATTGGCCATCATGTAGGTCCCCAAAATTAGACCAATTCACTGATGATGATTTAGGGTGCGCAGCTCAAATACTAAACCTTCATACTGTAGATTTTCTTTCATTCGTACTGAAGAATCTCGTTCAGTCCCATATATTCAATGCCGATTTAATTTTCTTCAGTGTAGCTGAAGTTAAAGGGATAGTTCACCCAAAAATTAATTTTGTCGTCATTTACTCACCCTCATGTCATTCCAAACCCGTGTAAGTTTCTTTCTTGTGTTGAAAATAAAAGATGAAATTTTGAAGAATGCTGGTAATAAAACAATTGATGGTCCCCACTGACTTACATAGCATTTCTTGCGCTACTATGTAAGTCAGTGGGGACCAACAACTGTTTGCTTCTTAAATTCTTCAAAATATTTTTGGGTGAACTTAAGAGAGATGAAGCTTCAGACCAACGTGTGGCTCTAAAACACGTGTTCTGTGTGTCTCTCTCTTCTCACTTCATGCTCACAGAGGACGCCGCGGAAGGTGAGAGTGACCTCTGACCTCTTCATGTCATCACGAGTGTGCGCGCGCGATACTAACACGCGTCTCTGGTTTCAGGTCTTTTCCAAACTGTTCGAGGTTGCGCGGAGCAAAGTGACGCAGAGACAGAGACTGTCCTCAAACAACAACATCAAGAAGAGGAACTAGCCTCACATTAGCGCCGAGGATTCTGGGGTTTCACGGGCTCTTTCACCAGGTGTCCTCTTTCTCATGTCCTTTCTTCTGTTCGGACTCGCTGACGTCTCTGTCCTCCGCCGGACGCTCCGCTAGAGGACCTAGTTGAGAACGCTGAACTGAACCAATGATTCCACCGTCTCTCTGCTGTACAGACGAACTTCCTGTGCTTCATCATTCCTTTCATCCAGACGAGGGTTTTTAAGCTGCTCACTGCAGGGCATGACGTGCGAGATAAACGTGTGTGACTCACGCTTCCACACACTTCCTCTGTAGCAGGAGAAAACACGGATTCATCTTCATCTGCAGGAATGATGCTGTGATTCCTGTCCATGCTGGAGAGAAAAACACACACACACACACACTCACTCACACACTCACTCACACACACTTGTGCAACACTCATACATACTCGTGTACACACACACACACTTGTGCAACACTCATACATACTCGTGTACACACACTCTCTCTCTCTCTCTATCTCTCTCTCACACACACTCACACACACACTCGTGCACAAACACTTGCACACACAAACATACTCGTGCACACACACACACACACACACTTGTGCAACACTCATACATACTCGTGCACACACACACTCTCTCACACACACACACACACACACACACACACTCGCACACACAAACATACTTGTGTGTGCACACACACACACTTGTGCAACACTCATGCACACACTCGTGGAACACACTCACACACACACACACACGTTTAGTTTTATACTGTCTTCATTCATGTCTTCTGCTTTGAGCTTCATCATTCCGGAATGTTTCATTCTTTTTCCATTCATAATTATATTTCTTAATTTATTTTTCAATTTGTTGATTAAAATGAATCGCTGTACGTTCACGTGTGATTTGTTTCTTTGTTCATGAGAATCATTTGATGACACTGTCAGTGTTTTAAAGATTCATCAGGAATGAAGCGATTCACTTCGAGTCATTATGAGCTAGCGGACTGATTCAGAGATCAGAGAACCGTCAGTGTGCGTTATTCAGAACTGGATCGTGTTCATGTTTTGAATATCTTCACATGAATCAGTTTAGAGCTGAACAATAGCGTAGTTCATATTTGGATGGAGACGATATAAACCCAGGGTTTCTGTGGATCTCAAAACGTCTTAATTCACATTTTCACTGGAATTTGGAACTGAAGAACAAATCTCTGTCAGTGGAGCATGAAAACCTGCGTTCCCTTTGGATTTAGCTGATTTTTCTGAGCTCATTGGCAGATATGTCTTTTTAACCATAAACTCACTTCATTTTGATCAATTTCTCATAACAAGACTTCATATCTCATGCTAGTTTGTTTCTCCAGTTAATGTATCTTGGTTTAATAATCTTTAGACAGCTGCACTGGGATTTTTCACTTGTTTTCAGGGTTTCGGCAGGTTTTATGAAGGTACATTTCATTATTATTATCATGACTCTGGGTTCATTCAGTATGAAATCTCAGATTTCTTATGTTTATTTTTCAAGTATTAAAGCACAATCTGTAAAACTGTTTCTCTTCACAGAGAGAGCCATAAACCTGTGCATGCGATACAACAGTGAAGCGTTTATTACACAGATGCTGCTGCTCCGTTTGAGCCGGGAATAATTCTAATATTCAAGCCTAAACTCAGCACCAGCGCCCTGAGAAATAAACACGAGAAACATTAGAAAAGTCAGGATCGTGTGTTTGATGAAATCTTCTTTAAATCATCTGCAGACGAGGTTCTCAACCTTTCTGACTTAAAGCCCCCTTCATTCAACACAACATTCAACAATTCATTTTGTGATTCCAAAAGTTTCAAAAACTTTGTTCTTCTTTGAAAAACTATTTAAAATTGTTATTTTTTTTGTCTTGTTTTAATATTAAAAAACTTTTTTTTTTTTTAAATTTAGAATTAGAAAGTTTTTTTTAGCATTTTAATTCAGTTAGATTATTTTAATATTTAAAAAAAAAATTTTTTTTAATCAGCATTTTAATTTAGACATTATTTTAATACCATTTTTAAAAAAAAGTTAAATATTTTTATAAATTCATTGAAGTACTTTTGAGTCACCCTGGTTGAGAACCGCTGATCTACAGAGGGATTTAAAAATGAAAAACAGGGAATAAACATCTGTTTTCTCTCCAACAGACCAAACTAACACAGAAATGAAAATTAAAATCTACTAGAATATGAAAATGACGAGCACAAGAAGCAGGAAAAATGACACTTTTTGAAAACATTTCTATTACGTTTACTTCAAATCGTTGCAACCTGAAAAACAATGTTATAATTTCATGACTGATTTTCAATATTAGTGTTTTTTTTATTTTGTGCCCTGACATGTTTTCCTCTGAATCTCGGATGGGTGATGAAGATGAATCAATACACATAAGAGCCTCATTGAGACGTGCTGGAAACATCTGCGCAGACTCATGAAGTCCTTCATTATAACAGTTGGACGTTCTTCTGATCTTCTGCTTCACGAATACTGGCCGAACTGTACTGTAAACACCCACCTGTCAATCATCACACTAACCCCACCCCCTACCCGTCAATCACGCAGACTCCGCCCAGCGAGAGTTGCGCTGCGGCGATCAGAGAAACCAGCGTCGCTTCATCACAGGAAGTTGTTTGAGATCTGACGCTGGTGTTCAAACAGGTCCTCTGCCTCTGCGCTGTAAGCGTCACCTGAAACACAGCCAGAAAACAACTCAGACACTGCTAGAAAATTCCTCAAAGAAACGACACGTAATGCATTGAATTAAACTTGAAATTCTGAAGTATTCAAGTAGAAGAACTGAAACAGTGTTTTCTTGTTAAACATACTCAAATAACCTCTGGAGTTTCATTTCGACATTCAACAGCAAGTAACATTGAATTAAACATGACATTTTGAAGTAGACAGACTAAAATAATATTTTATTTTAACTTGTTTTATTTATTAATTAAATATTTTAAATGTAATTGTATGCATTATTTAATTTATTGCAAAAAGTAAACGTGTTACGACAGGTGTCAAAAGCATGAAACATGTTTTTATTTTATTTTGCAAATAGTATATATTTATAATACTGGCCATCAATATAAAATAGGTCTCCTAGAAAGAAAATCTTGTAAAACATACTCCAATAATGTGTTTTTTTTTGTTAACAAAAAATAATTTTATTTATTTTAATTTAATGCTTATTTTTATCAAAAAATATAAAATATAGTGTCAAAAGCACTAACGTTTTTAACATTTTCATGTAATTATTGTTTCTATTATTTTATTTATTTTTATTTACTTCTTTTCTTTTTTATTGTACAAAACAGAATAGATTTGTAGCAGGTGCCGTAGAAAGAAACCGTATTTTCTTGTAAATTGCACTCAAATAAACTAAAGTAGTGTTCAGGTTGTTCTCTGGCTCTGGAGCTCAAGCGGATATCATCGGACAGTAGAAGGATGTGATGTGTGTCTCACCGGCGTGGCAGCCGTACAGATAGACGCGTGCTCCGTCGTAGCGGCAGCGGCAGCGCATCACGTTATTCTGGAAATCAGACTCGGCCATATCCAGCGACGGATTAACCTCCACCTGCACACACACACACACACAGCAGCGAGTCTCCATCTGAACAAAACCACATCTCACCACTTCACTCGTGAGGACGCGTGTGAGTGTGAGTGTGTGTGTGTGAGTGAGTGTGTGTGAGTGAGTGAGTGTGTGTGAGTGAGTGTGTGAGTGAGTGCGTGTGAGTG